AAATTTATTGTTTCCTTATAATCCTTTACAAATAAAGTAATTTTCATAATAAACTCTATCACTGAAAAATATCCCAAAACAGTAAAACGGGACATGTATTTTACTAGTACATTTTCCTTACTGTAATATCCAAGAATTTTTTTTATGTTGCTTTGTCATCATCAAATAAGGGGAGATTGTTGATCCTCTCTCTCAGTGAATTGATGATGATCCTTTTATCTAACAAAAAGTACTTTCTCCTTATTCGGTTTCAACGTTCATTACTAAGTCTGTTCAGTGATCGTTGAACAAGTATTGTATCTCTCAAGAGACAAGTATTCTTCAAGAAGACAAACTCACACACAAGAACCTTCAGTGATATCGAAGATAAAGCTGAAGATAGAGACAAGCAGTTTGTTATCTGATGCGGTTTTAGTGATAACAAGCATGTTTAAAAATGTGTGATGTTTACTCAAAATTCAGCATACACTGAAGAAACCTTAGAGTTATTCCACTATCAGCGGTCAAATGAATCTTGTTGATCAATATTAGTTTTTGTCTTATCCTTCTACACACAAAGGACAAACCCATACCTCTAAAAGTAAAGCACTCGTACATAGTCACCTTATTATCTTCAAACGTGCTTACTTCCTTTATAAAAAATCACTGCTCATATACTCTTATCCTCCTACACACAAATGACAGACTCATACCTCTCAAAGTAAAGCACTCGTACGGAGTCACCATATTGTCTCTAAATGTGCTTACCTACTTTCTGAAAGACCACTGTTCATATACGACAAAAGCTTGTATATCTAAAGACAAAAAACAAGCTCACATCTAGAAACTTGCCACGTGTCATGTATTGTCTTACTTGCATTTAATGCAATGACTATAAATAGCTGAGAAGTCCCTCCTTCTCAGATACTTGAAGATCAAAGATCTACCCAAGAAGAGACACCCTCAAAAGCACAAACTTCTTAACCTTGCAAAGTTATATTTACTTCAAGTGAAGAATACCAACTAAGCTCTTCCTTTAGCGAAGTTATTGCTTCTTCTTTTAGCAAGTCTTTCATTTCTTGCTTTTTGCATGTTATATGTTCCCTATATTGTTTTAGATAAGTTTTGTATCTTATCTTATTCTGCAAACAGTCTGTAAATTTTGTATTGATTTTCTTTATCAATAAAGGATTTTAAAAAGTGAAAAATATTATGTGTTTGTATTCATCCCCCCCCTTCTACAATTGTTATCTTTAAACTCTTGTAGGGACCAACAACGTGAATACTTCTTGCTCATTAAACAACAAATGTTGATATTTTAATAGTGGTTGCACCAATTGTTAATGCCTCCACCACTATTCTAACAACTATTTCTTCAACAACAATTGATGCTCCCACTTCCACTGTTACTTTCATTCCAATCTTAGCAGCAGCAAAAATTGTTGCAAACATGAAACTTGTTAGAAGCTCGGAAAGAACTTTCAAGAAGTATATAGAGAAAGCCATGGTTTCCTCAAGGTTGTTGTTGCCACAAAATTATATGAAGAAGTAGATGAAACCATGTTTAACAAAGACCCAAATCCATTGAAGTTGTGATGCAAACGGTCAAAGCCAATGCCAACCTTTCCAAAGTGTTTCTCTCAATGAAATTGGTGATTACACAAGAATTATATTTATGTGGCAAACAAGACGAATCCCAACATGATTTGAAAACTTAAAACTAAGGAAATTTGGAATTATCACTTGGCACGATCACGCCCCCTCCCTCCATGAATGGCAGAGTCATGTCATATCCCCATGAAGTTCTTGTTGCTCTATGGAACATAAACATATTGGCTCTTATGGAGATCTACATAACCTTACATGTAGGCATCTGCTATATACATTCCCCCCCCCCTTCCCACCTTCACAGTTTTGTTGTTTCGCATCATTTGCTTCAACAACAACAAAATAATATGAATAGGTGAAATGAATGAAGGAAATTTGAAAAGAGAGGCATTTTTGGTAGAAAATGAAAATTGCACATTCTTTTTAGAGGAAGCAACCTGAGAGCATATTTTGGATTTATATGGATATATTAAGTATACAAACTCAAAATTTCCACTTAGAATAAGTAGGAATCTTTCCATCTCCTAATCTAAGTCCCATCAATGACTAACTTATTCTACAACTGTTATCCTATTTTATTTGACTGCCTAATTCCATTTCATCAACACTTGTGCTAGATAAATGAATTTGTAGAATCTAAAAAGAAAATAAAATTGAAAGCATAAAATCAAGTTGAAGACTTAAAACGAATAAAACTCAAAACGAATACGCTTCAAGATTCATCAAAAGAGAAAACCCTAATTCACGGTTCAAAACAATAAACCCCAAGTTAGAAATCCAAAAAGAAATCATCGATGAAGTTGTTATGATTGTGGACGGGGAAAGAGGAAGGGAGAAGGCAGGGACGAACCCAGAGGGGTGGTTGGGTTGGCACGTGCCACCATATTGTTCCTTCGTGGTAAGGTAAAAAAAAATATGTTTGTAAAAGGTGCAACCCTTTTGTTTTAGAAGGTGCAACCATTTTATATGGTGTCACCGTACCAAAAGTTCTTGTGAAGCAACGTCCTTTAGTGCAAGGAGGTGCAAGTGAAGAACAAGAGGAAAACAAAGGTGGCGTATTCTGGTGGACCAGGGTCGGTCCTAAGATTTTTGATGCCCTATGCGAAAATAATAATAAAATGTCTCTAAGCCTATTTTTTTTTTAAGCAAATTGAGCAACAAAACATGCGATTTTTTAAAGAGTTTAGAACCTATTTAAGCTAAGGGTCTCATCCCCATGTTGATTTTTACTAATTATAATTAAAAAAAATACAATGGTGGGGGGGGGGGGGACATAAAAACCAAAACCCCGAATACAAAATATAGAATTATAAAAGGATAAATCCCGGATTAAGATCGTGCTTCCTTCTTTTCCAGTTTTCCTTTTTTTAAATTGAAATTAGCAAAATAGAAACTTTATTTCAATATATGGGACTTAAAAGATAAGGAAAAAACTATAATTAGTTTTTAACTAAAATAGTAAATTACATCCAAATTATTGTCATAGTAAGCAAAAAGTAAAACTCAAAAGTTACAGATCTAACGACTAAAGGCTAAGGGCCTATATGTTAGTAGCTTAATAAGCTTAAAGGAACTAACAGCTTATTCGCTCAACTATATATGACTGTTTCGTAGTGGCTTAATGATATAAAAAGTGACTTATCCAGTAAGCTTTTAGGGGATCCTTATATAGAAAGTCAAGTTTTCTTTTCCAAACATGTATCTTCCAACTAAAAGAACGTTCCTTATATCTGCGAAAAATCTCTCCAAAACAAAAAAAAAATCCAACTTATACGAACAGGTAATTCATACAGACAACTTTATTCATCAGAACTTAATAAAAAAACCAATCAAATGGCCCCTAAATCTAATGTGATAATGCCAAACCTCAAAGTAAACAAAAAACAAAAGAACAATAATAAATTGTAAAATTCATAATCTATGTAATTGTGCATTGCAAGGAATAAGTGCCCAACAATTAAGACAATATCACAATATGTTGTTAATGTTGTGTAGTGTGCTTCAGCTATGTTGATACAGTGATGTGCTCATTTGCATTGAAAATTTCAATTCTCAAATATTTCAATATGCAAGAGGAAGACTCATTATCAAAATTACAAAAGCCCCTTAGCCTTAGCCTAGTAGGTCAATAACCCACATGACCGCATGACCCAACTTTATAATAATCAGTTAGAAATCTAGATTTTTTTTGCAAAAGAATTTAAAGATTCATAAATCATAATATGATTCACACAACAACTCGGTAAGTTCAATCAACAGTATAAATCAATCATTCGAGATTTCCATCTTTGATTTCTTCAATCTAATTTCATGACCATTAATCGGCTGGAAAATAAACTTCATGCCTTGAAAATCGATAAAGCCAAAACTTTGAAAAACAATAGAAATTAGATTGAGTTGTTGGAATGATAACGTTAACCGGCTCACGACGGCATTCAGTATTCATCACTATTAGGCTTTGGGCCTGTTTTTATAGTTAAAGCTCAGTTGTCCAATTCCCAAATTATTAAACACAAAACTAGTAATAGATGACAATTTGATGCTCCTCTAAGCTTTGATGCCCTGTACGGCCGCACGGAATGTACGTAGCCAGGGTCGACCCTATAGTGGACCCGTACCTCACCTAAAGAAAGGCAAAGGGAATAGGGTTCTTCGTCGTCATTGGTGATGACGGACGGGAAATAGGCACGGGAAGGAAAAGGGGTTTGTATGAGGAAATGGGCACGGGAAGGGGAAAAAATTGGGTATTTTTATTAAAAATTGTTTAAAATCTACATTAAAACTTTCACATCAATTGACACATATCGATTTGATGCTTATTTGTAATGTTTTGTCGTCATCTATCAACAACACGTAGGATTTGAATTTGACAATAGATAGTTTTGACCCAATTCTAGAAAACTTTGTAATATTAGTTATTTTTTTATAAGTTGTTACCTAAAAAAAATTGATTACTTTTTCATGCAATTTATTCGACAGTTAAATAATTATCAATATTTTACATAATTATATTTAGAGCTAAATGCATGAAATAACAAGATATTTCATAAAAAAATTTATCATAGCATTCTACTTTTGTTTTTCTTTATTACTGCAATATACTTACAAATTATTTTTTATTAAGATATAGTACTTTAAAAAATGTATCTATTATAGTAATGGATAACTTGTTACCTTTTAAAGCGGTTAACTCCTGTACCTTTTTGCTTGTTTAACTTTAATGAGATGATATGGATGACGTATCATTTTGATTACTTAACTAAAATAAAAACATATTTTGAATTATTATTAGTGATTTTATTTTTCATTGCTATGATTTACAAAACATTTAACTTTTTTGATTTTTTCTTGTTAAATTGCATGAAATTAAATATTCTATAATAAAAAATTGCGATTTTATGAAAGTAAAATGTGAAAAATCATCAAAATTGGTTGCCCAAAAGTATTCATTTACATCGGTTGCCTGAAATTGCTTCTTTCCCCAATTGAACACGAAAAATTAAAATGAGAAACAAGTCACCAACAGAATATAAAATTTGTAAGAAACAAAAATAATTGTACAAACCTACAATCATCGACTTCAATTGAATGAATATTATTTAACAAGATTAGTGTCTTGTAAAAATCTTTTGTCCCGGTGCAAGAATAGCCATTGGATCGTATCTCGATTTCATCTCAACAAACCACAACCATCGATCCCCAAAGTGTTGCTTCCATCCGTCCTCAGTATTGTAATGTGGAAGGTACAACTTAAAATCGAATCCATTTCTAACACAAGTTTGGACGATCTCGTGATTTTGTAAGACAAGATCGTTGACGGTTGGAGACTTTTGATACGGGTTTGTGAAGCGAAGCAATGCGACGATATAAAAGATATCTCCTTCGGGTAAGACTACTGATGTACGTTCGTCCCACCTAATGGAATATAAAACGAAATATTATCTAAAGACGATACCCCTTTGATCTTTAAAATTGTGGTGGTCCTAAACAAAGAAAGGACCACAATGAGATGTACTCAATGATGAGGCAAGATAGAGTCCATATCACGAAATAATTTATCAAATGTTTTTATAATTTCTACAGACAACGACAATTTAGTCAGTAAAAAAAATGAAATCGAACCATATGGTGTCACTAGGTGGGCCCAACCGGTTTGCGTTGTCGTTTCTGATTCGCCAGAGACTGTCCCGAAAGCTACATCACTTTGGGAATCTCGTTTTCTATCAAAACATGAAACCACTCTCACTCCATCTGTAATTACCATCTTACCCTCAGTCATCCAAACCCCCCATTTTATTTTTTAATAATTAATATTTTCTTTGAATACCTTTTTTACTTAATTATATACAAATAAAATGACTATTATCAAAAGGTCATTGATCCAGAAGTATTCAATTTATAGATAAAATTCAATTTTAACTTTGAAAATAAATACTGTTTACTTTAAAATTATTTGAATGGATGTGAATGGTTGGACGGCAATATTTTGGAGGACTTTATTTATAAAAAAAGAAAAAAGAAAAAATAAATAAAATCAGGCGTGAACAAGTACATACACACATGACCTCATTTTTTCTTGAAGATCTTAACCACCACCCCATCTAAGCAAAATAGTCAACATATACCATATCATATTCATATCCCAACACCCCTATCCCCTACCCCCTACCTCCATGTCTATTTTCACCATGGTGGCAATCCGATTGCCACGTAGGATTGGTGTAGCCCATCCTCCACGTGACTATGATCACTGCACGCGTGGCTTCATTTATATTCATGGCAACTTAACAAGATCATGGGTCCAATCCAATTACACCATCAAAATTGAAGCCTAAAAGGACCTCAGAATCCCACCTTTATTTTCCAAAAATAATGATCAAGAGAATTTGTATTTGTACTTACTTGTTTCGAAGAATCGGGTAGACGAGCATAGGGCCACCGATGCCGTCTTTCAAAATCTTATTGAACACACAACGATTGAATTCTGCAATCGACGTTTTGGAGACGAAGAGATTAAGCCACGGGTGTGGAGCATCCCATATGCCGTTGGCTTTCGCGTGTTTTTCCGCTTCCTTTACACGTAGTAGGAAATCCATGTAGGGGAGGTCCACCTGGAACAATGTGTCGTCCACAAATCTCAACGGTCCAAGCAGCTTGTGTACCGTCTATGGTTCGAAATAGAAAGCAATTGTCCGTTAAAAAAAAGAGATAGATTATTATTATTATTATTATTATTATGGAGGAAAGTAAAGTCAAAAAAGTAATTTAAAAGTAGCTGAGGGTGCGACAAAAACAAAAAAAGAAAACAAGAAATAAATTGATGGATGGGTTAGGGTTATTGAGCAAGTAGTGGGGGACCAAGAACGTCAGCCAAAATCTCAATGACCAGCAAAACGACAGCGCACTGGAAAGGCTTACGGTGAACATTAATGTTTTGGGCCAACACAATATGCTCTCACCAGTGCGGAAAGTACGGGTGTCAATCTCGTAAATATGACCAAATTCTGTGGTCGTTTTTGCTTCTTTGTGTCAGAGAATCCAATGGAAGATACTGTAGTTGCCTTATTGTCAGTTTCAAAAAGCTTTTCCTAATAACAACCGTTCGCTGCTGGGGCCAATACGGTAATATCACTCCCCCCTCCTAATCTCATTCTCAATTCAACCCTCTGCCTCCGTCCCTACTAGTCAAAACTTCCCAAATTGACCTCCAACAAGCTAAGTCAACATAGTCAACTCCATTATTATAATCCCATTTTCTTTCTATTAAAGTTGCATCTAATAAAACAAAGGACCAAAACAATTTTTTAATTTTAAATATGTTTTATTTTACCAAAACATTTTGGGTCAAAATACGTTATCGGTGAAAACCAATAGTTCTGAATGGAAGAACGATCATTTTGGAAAGAAAAAAAAAAGGAAAAAAAAAGTCAAAACATTTATTACCAAGATTATACCCAAAATAATAAAAATAAAAATAAAAATAAAAAATAAAAAAGTGACATTGGAATGAAGAAAAGTGGACTTGGTCAAGCTTTTGATATTAGAAAAGCAGGAGCACTATAAAAAAAGATGAGGTGCGATGCATAGGATCAAGAAAAAGCAAAGAAGCGGGAAAAGACAGAGGCTCACTGTATCGACTGTTGCAGAGCAGTTTCCCTTGCTGTAATGTAAAGCGACTTCTAGGCAATACAACACAGGGTTAGCGGACCGGATGAAGATACTCGGGTCGAATAGTTGGTCCGGGTCAAGCAGCACCGATGGCCACCCGTTTACCGGGTCGTCGCTGTTCACAAACACGAATCCTTCCACGTAATCAAAAGAATCGCCTTCGGGTCGGGTTATGAGCGACTCGGCGTCCCGAGTGAACTCGTCGAACTCAGAGTATACTACCCTTATCCATCTCACCTAATCGCGTTTTTCGTAAACGGGTAAGATTTCAGCAAAAACGTGCGTACAAATTCTGATGCACAAGTTACAATAATTAGTTTCAAGGATTGTAGGAAATACCAACCATATCCGGGGCGGCTTGAACCAGGACCCGGGCCCGAGTTATGATACCGAATTGTCCAAGACCGCCGAGAACGGAGAAGAAAAGTTCTGAATTTTGGGCGTCGGAACAGATCACCGTGTCTCCGTCGCCGGTAACGACTTCCAATTCCGTTACATTTGATGTTTGCGGGCCGTAACGGAAAGTCTGGCCGCTAACACCGGCGTTAGACAACGTTCCACCGACGGTTAACCCTAGGTAATCCGTCCACGACCGAGGCGATAAACCAAATTTCGAAACGCACCGTTTCAACACGTCTTCCCATAATGCCCCACCGCCAACGTCGACGGCGTAACCGTCTTCACAACGGACGAGGTCAATTACAGAATCGGACGATTTCTTCATGTCGATGACGAGTCCTCTGTTGGCCATCGCCTGACCGTTAATTGAGTGACCATTTCCCCTCGCAGCCACCGTCAGGTTCGCCGACTGTGACGCAAATCTGATTACACTTGCGATGTCGTGACTACCAGAAGGTCTGATGACGGCAAAAGGCGTGGAAGCATGCAAACCGCCAAAGTCTTTTCCGGCGTAGCCGGTAGTCCTGTAATCAATACTGCCTTCGAGGTCCATGGCTTGGCATAAAGTAGTTGCGACCTCACCGTCGTCTTGTTGAAGCATGGGTTCAGAATCGTTCTCGTGAACGAAATGCTCTAAATAAGCTATCATCTTTACCGGAAAGATTGTGTGTGTGTGTGTCTCTCTCTCTCTTTCTCTCAGTAAAACACACAGTAAGGTGTTTCTCTCTCTAAAAGGTTGGGGTTGGGAAAGGGTTGGCTTTGCTGCTACAGAATCTAAAGTAATCTTTTTTGTTTCTCTCACTTACACTATCTCGGGTGGAGTTCTCGGGCTTAAATAGCGGCGGATTTGGATTTTTAACACACCAAAATATTAGTATTAAACCCGATATTAAAGAAAACACATATTCTTTATTAATTACTATTATTGTTTTTTCTTAAAATATAATATAGTATAATATATATTTTAAAATATTGGTTATATTTCATCAAATTGTATTAAATTTTGAATAATCATCTAAAAATATATCGATCTAATTTACGTATCGAAATCTTGATTTTCAATAAAGAATATATTTTCTTACATTATAAATTAATAATAACGATTATACTACCAATAGCTAGTTACTACATAGATAATTGTCTCACGCAAATCTATCATCATTGAATTAATAATTTTTTTGGATAAGAAAATAATAATGTAACTTGCAAACTAGACACTTGATTATAAAATTGTCATGGAGGGATTGCTTAGTATATGTGTATTCAGTATCTTTTTTTTATTAATTGATGATAAAAGATATGTCTGAGATGTTATCAACACCTTGGTTAAGTGATTCATGACCGTTGATGAGTTTTGTCCCACCATTTTGGATGGTATTAGCTCATAGTTTTATAATGCATCACATTAGTTGTGGGGTTACTCAACATCCTCATTGTTTATTGGTAATACAAGATACATTTGAGATGCAAACACCCCCATTTCACAATAGGTATCTAGTTAAAAACTTGAGAAAACCAAACATGACTTAAAATAGTGAAACCTTATCTCTAATCTTGCAGTGGAAGTCTCTATTGAAGTTCCTGCATCGTCAAAATACAATTTTGTTAACTTGGAATATCGCACGTTACTTTTCGTTGGATGTAATGACTCATGAAAGATATATATTAATAATTGAATGATTGTTATGTCATAGTCATTTGACATACATGCTTATTTTTTTAGTTTATGCTCATCGAGTTCGTAATCTTTATAGAAGATCGTAGAACAATTGATATGATATCAAATATCAAGTAACAAACATAGCATTTCAAGATAAGCATAATATCATCAGTTTAATTCATGATGAAATAAACTTCATGAAAATCTCAACGACATGTACTATGTGGGCCTAACGTCAATCATACCATTGTTCATACTATTAATCGCCAAATATAGGAATATTCCTCACGATACATGTAGACTTCATACATCATTGTGGTTTTCCATCATCAATACCAATGTTCACGCATACGGCCCACAACTCATCGGGAGACAATACTATCACCCGGGGCTTAATTTTGGCTTGAAGGAGTCTCACCAAATACCCATGAGCTTCTGGACTGAGTGGTCATCCCTTACCCAACCAGAAATCAAATTGGTAAGAAGGTTTTCAAAAAGGCTACAAGGTACTAATAATGATGATGCATGTGCTTGTACAAGATAGAAACATTAAGCAACGTGTTATCAGTGCCCTCATGGCCGAGGCATTTATTGAAGGAAAGAGATGGCGGGTCGGTCAATCAACTAAGTAGGGCCTGAGGCTCTTTGTGAATTCGTAAATCTGAAGAGCATGTCACAACAAAAGGATGGTCCCCTATGCATATCATTCTTTTTGGAAGGGAAAAAAAAGTACCCCTCCCAGCCGGGGGGCAGATCGAATCGGAGTTTCCTTTAGACAAGAAGGCGTTGATTGAAAGGGTACTTCATGACAGACCAAAAGGCTGGGCAATCGAGAGGGGAAGAAAAATGGAGAGAGAAAGAGCAAATGGATTATATCCTCTGTATCGAACACTCACTCTTATCTACCGGTAGAAAGATCTTCATTAAATACCAGACATTTCCTTGTTAACTAATTTCGCAATGTTTCGGTTATTTGTGCCGTAGAGAAAAAAAACAATTGTTAATATCACGAACGAAGATATGAGTCGATTCCATAAAATAGAGCCGTAATGATTAATTTAAGGGGATAAATTCTTCATCACTTTTAATAAAACCGTACATCTTATAAACTATTTTTTATTTTGTATTATGATATTATTTAGGTGTAACCACTGCGAAAATTTATTGAATCTAGCTTTGTTTCTAATCTCTTGTTGAGATCTACTATTCATTCGACCAACAAGCTCTTTAACACTTGGACCAAATCTTAGGTTGGTCACATACAATTTTTTTTCTTTAATCTCATATCAACTATACATATCGATGTGTGTATATATAGAGAGATATGCAATATTATATACAAATCGTCTATATCTTACAAACTATATGAACCGATCTTTTACCAAGTTTTTTCTAATTTTATATTTACTCAACAAGGGTATTTCCCGTCTCACATGATTTATACGGTTGCAATATAAAAAATATCCAATCCCATTCTTATCTCTTTTCGGTTTCCTAAATAAACTAATTGAACATCTTTGATTAATGCTGATCACGTCCATTAATCTCACGAATTGTTTGATTTTGTAATCCAATTTTAAGGTTTGAATAGATAACATAACCAAAATATCCATGGATCATCATGATATTCCAAAGTGTGTTTCTTTTGAATCTTCAAAAGTTTGGAACAATTTGTGTGATCTCAACGTAAATGGAGATGTTAGATTGAAGCAACGATGTGGTTATCAAATAAGGAACAATGCTGATTCAAGGTTCTTAGAAGATTTTTCCAATCCGATGATTGTTTTTCATACTGATGAAGATTATTTATTGAATGAATGTAATGAAATAAACATAGTTGATAATGATCTTGATACCAAAGCAGATGTCGATGCTGAAGATGATACATTGAATCAAATTTTAAAATAAAATAATGTAGATTCCTAACCAGATTTTGAATGCGATTTTGAAGGGTTAGATGAGTTTGAGGATGTTATAGATGAAGACTATTTATTTTAATCAATTTCTTCTTGATTGTAATCTTTGTATAGGTTTATTATATATGTATGATACTAAATTACTGGAGGTTCTAATTTTCTATAAGATAAGGTAACGTAGAGGTATGGACTTGTACATGTTGCACAAGTGAACTATTAGCCTTCAATATATATTGTTTTCACTAGTGCACTAAATCATATGACTAGAGACTGTTTCACCGGTGAAACATCATGTTTCACTAATAACTCTTAGCATTCAATACTTACTGTATAAACCTGTGAAATATTAGCCTTCAATACATATTGTATACCATCATACTAATGTTTCACTAATGAAACGTTAGTTTCGCTGACATACCGTTTCATCATTGCATTTGAAACCTGCTTTAGTACTTACAATATTTATAAATATTTATTTTTTCCCCATTACTCGTATTCATCACATTATATCAATTACCATTTACTCTAGACCTTTTTCCATGATTATAAACCCCTTCATCTCCAAATAACATTTTCTACTAACCATCATTTTTCCAATGATTTATGTACATTGAACTATTTTGTTAACAATAACATTCCAAATTGTGGTATAGTGTTGTGTGGTTTGTACAACCTTAAAACTTAATGCAGAAATAGACATTGGCACAAGTATACACCATAATCTACTGTCATGTTGTAAAAGTAATAATTGTACACATACCAAATATCGTTCCCACAGAGATGGATTGTAAAGTCTTTCAAAAAGTTCAGTCTTTGAAAATTGATTTCAGATGGCGAATTCCAAGAAATCTTTTGATTGGTTGGTTAATTATCAACTACGGAAAATCAGTCGTAAAAAGAAGCAAAGTGTGTAACGGTTTGCTAAGATTGAAACAAATGATCCATTAGAAAAATATTATAGCATTTTCTAGACAGTTCAATGTTACTATCAATTAGTACAATTGTCATGTCACAGATATCCGTCTATTGGGCCAGACGACCTCCCAAGAGTACACACATGTTAGGGGGTACTATTTATACAACATCATTCAGCAACGTCGAAGATAGAAACTAAAGATTAGTGACTAGCGCATTCGTGATCTAAAGCAGCATTCAGTGATTACAAGCTCGTCTACATATGTGTGAAAACTGCACAAGTTTCAGCGAATACTGAAGAGACCTCCAGTATCATCCCAGCATTTAGCGATCAAATGAAGATTACCATGCACGATTGTTTTTGTCTTGTCCTCCCACACACTAAGGACAAACTCATGCCTTTTCTAGAGTATAGTACAGTACAGAGCCAGTCAGTTGACTCTATCGTGCTTACCTACTTTATGAAAAGAAGACTACTCATGAACAACAATAGGACTGTTCATTGTAGCAAAGGACAAGCTTTCCTCCAAAATCTTGACACGTGTTCTATACCTTATGAATTACATTTAATGCAATAGGTATAAATAGTTGAGTGCCTTTCACTCGGTTATATCTTCGACCACTCTTCTTCTCTAAGAAACTTTACCCAAAAAGTTACTTCTCTCACTACTCTCTCTCTAAAGAGAAAGAACCACTTTGAACAAGTGAAGAACACTTTTCTAAGTCTTTAATTCTTGCAGCAAATCTTTTCTCTTTGCTAAGTCTAATAGTGTGTATCCTTAGATTGTTTAGATATGTTTCTTTACCTTATTTTTTCTGCAAACAATCTGTAAAATTTGTATTGATGTTTCTTTATCAATATATAATTTTTGAAAGTTTCTGTTTTTGTATTCATCTCCCCCTTTATACAAACTGATCCTACAACTCTTGTAGATCTAGATGGGACCAACAAGTGGTATCAGAGCAGCGTTTGCTTCTTGTATTGTTTTGTTGTTTTATTGGCATTTTATTATCTTTTCTTCTCCAAATAATTTATTCCTTTACAAATGGCTTTACAAAACACTAGCACTCACTTTCACGACAATGACTCTCTTGTCAACCCCCCTCCCGGTTTCATTAGAGAAAACTTTAGTCTCTGGAAGAATCGGATGTCTTTATTCTTGGAAGGTATGGATTATGAGATTCCATACTATATGAAAAATGGACCTTATGTTCCATATGCTATATCTCCAGCAGTTCCTGCAACTGCTATGATTGAATCCAAAGCTCCCTCATCAATGGAGGGATGAAGAC